TCCCCAGGAGAGTGCTGAGCAAGTCACTTTCTTCCTGCCGTAGACCAGCATTAGTTTGCACAAATTTCGTAAGTGTTTCCCTTAGCCGTGTCCTGACATTCTTCAAGTGTTTTGCAGTTGAAAAATATTTGCTTTTCCAGCAAACGTTTGCAAGATGAAAACACTTGCTTCCCGAGAAGCAGTGAAGCCATTGCTTGGGGCCGGGAGGCGGCAGGCCCACGGCGGCAGCTCCTTCCACGCGGGGCTCAGTAGCAGCCCGTAGGCTGACTGTGTGTTATTTGGGCCAGCCTTTCGCAGGTCAGCTCCCCTCCGCATTATTCACACGAGATAGCCCATTCATGCCCAGAGTTTTCTCAAAAGACTGTATAGAGCAAGGCTCGCACAGCGCCATTTCGGTCACTGTCACTCCATGAGGTGCCGCGGGACCTGAGCCCTGGTGCACGTCGATTAGCCGATGGTGAAATCGGTTTCCTTGGGCGTCGTCTAGCTGAAGTCACAGAGCGCATGGATGACGCTAAGGGAGGACATGCTGTACGTCTCCCTCCCGTCCCCTCCAAAAGGTTTCCGCTGCTCCGTGGCTGGCGGCCCACTGGTGTTGCCACCCGGTGACTTCGTGCAGGAGTTGGGGCTGGGAGAGCGGAAGATTTCATTGCATCGCCTCATAGACCCTCCTTTTCAGGTCTCAGTGGCGCTGTCTGCCGAATGGGGGGATGACACTCCGCATTGGAGACATCGGAAGCTGGGGAGCTTTTTTTTTTTTTTGAGTCCTCTACCTGGTCAAAAGACTTTTCATTAAAAACCCAAAGTGAATCTCTCTTTTGGAACGGAGAGGTCTCCCAGCGTAGAGGCCACGGACCCCTCTGCTGTCTCCCCTGGCGTTGGGACTCTAAGAGGCAGGGAGGCCGGCCCCCTGTCCGAGAGGGACAGAGGAGGATGTCGTGAAGGCTGGGAGTTGGATCCTTTCAAGAGGAGCTGGGCCGCGGCCCAGGTCCCCGCCAGCCAGCCCGGTGTGTGCACCCTCAGACTCTCCGTCTCTGCTCAGCACCTCGGGGCCCGCTGGCCCGGCCAGGCGGCCCTCTGCCGGAGAGGTCAGGCCGCATTGCTATCTGGACACCTTCCAGCGACACAGGTTCATCTCCAGGGTCAGCCTTTCCCATCGGTGCTCAGGAGCCCTGGGGGAGCAGGAGGGGGTTGGGGTAAGTAATGGCTGTGGGCAGCCACAAGGGGTGGAGGCAAGGGGCAATGGGGACACAGGCCCCGCCCTCAGGAGGGCGAGGTGACGCTGAGGTTTCCAGGCTGCGCGTGGCCACGAGCCTCTTTCCTCGCCCCAGGATGAGCTCCCCAGCTCTTCCGTTGCTGGTGGAGACAAGACAGGCTCTCCCTCCCCCTGGGGTGGGTCTTGGAGAGCTCCCTGGGACATGGGTGGTGACCTCCAGGTGGGGGCCGTGGGTCTGGAGCCAGGAGAAGGGCCACGTTTCCACTGTTTAGTTTAGGGTCTGAGCTCTGTTGGGACGCAGCTGGCTCTGCCTCTCCCTCGGAGCCCTGTCCTCGGTGCCAGGGCCTTCAGGCTCTGGCAGCGGGACAGAGGGGGCCACCCTCCCCGGCTGGGCTGGGCAAACCCCAAGAGTCTGACATGCTTAGACACAGTTTCCAGCAGCTGCACCATCTCCCCCGGGAAAAGCACACCCCTGAAACTTATCTCTGACCCCCACCTGCAGGGGGCAAATGCGGAGATGCCCCCCCCCCAACCCCGCTCTGGGTGGCTTTGGGAAAGCATGTTCAAAACCATTCTCAAGACCTCGGATTCATTCCTCATTCCCAAGTGAGCTAGTCTCATCCTCCCTCGAGGCTGAGTTCTGGGGGGCAGGAGGGAGGAGGAGGCTGATCATTTGGTTCCTCTACAGTAAATATGGATCATGGCCACCGTCCCCATGCCCCCCCCCATCTTCAACCCCAGAATATTTACCCGTGTTTATATAACCATGGCAACAGGATTTGGTCTCTACCACTTACACCCTGTTTAAAAAGAGAGAAAGAGAAAAGTGGAAGGCAGCCCTTTTTCCGGCTCCTGCCTCCTGCTCTGCCCAGACAACCTCTTCGGAAACTCGGGAGGGAGTGCCCACACCTAGGCGTGATGTTGGCCCTGTCAGGGGAAAGGAAGCAAGGCATGTGCAGCAGCCCAGCGTCGTGGAAGGGCTTCAGAGTTTGACAGCAGCTGACCTCTGGTCACCCGCAGGACCCACACATAATAGTACCTCTGACTTGCCTGGGACCTCGCTTCCAGGCACTGAACTGAGATTATGGCCATCGAGTTTCTTGTTCTAGCCCTCTGCGTGAAAGTGGATGGATGGAATGCAGTTTGTCTTTGCTGATGACACACACTTGAACTCTAAGAGAGATTCCTCTTGTCCTGACTACTTCCTAGCACAGATGTGTTCAATTCCCATGGGTGTAAACGATACGCAAGGGAAACTGAGGCCAGTGGAAGGGAAGCACTGTGCAGAGTCCTCCTAGTGTGTCAGGGTCGAGAGAATGGAAGACCTAACCACTCAGTCTGAAGTTCTTGCCACAAGCTCAGCCTGCATCTCTTGAAGCTTTGACGGTAGGTACCTAAGTTCCAAAAGAGTTCCAGCTCCCGAGCAATCAGGCAAGGAGAAAAACAGGGCTTAAACTTGACTCTGAGGACTATTCAACCGCAGACCCACACAGCAGTGTCCCAGTGAGTGAAGCTCTGCCCTGCTGGTTGGAGAACCCCCTTTGGGGTCTTCCCCTAGTATATGTGTCCCTCCGTGGACTATGTGTTAATGGCCAGGCTCCGATTTCTATTCTAACACCGGAGGATTCAACTCCAGAACTGGTTCCCCGGGGTGGAGAGAGCAGCTCCGTCCTCGGGGGTGGCTCCCACCCCGAACACTCTGTGTGTCCCACGGAAAGGAGGCCCTTGGGGATTTCAACTTGGCTCACAACTGCAAGGAAACCAGAAGGTGAGGAGGCACTCGCTGGGCGACCTTCGAGGGAGCAGAATAAATATAATTTCAGGCTCTTCCAGCAGGCATTGGTAATGCTTGCACGGGTCTCCTACTCCACCGTGTGGGTGTCGATTTTTCTGACTCACGCAGGATCCTAAACAGACCTTGAAGGGAGCGCAGGTACCTGAGCTTGACAAGAGGCCACTGAAACACGGGCTTCAGACCGGGTTTTTTTTTTAAGATTTTATTTTATTTTTAGAGAGGGAAGAGAGGGGGAGAGAGAGGGGGGGGGGAGACATCAATGTGCGGTTGCTGGGGGCTGTGGCCTGCAACCCAGGCATGTGCTCTGACTGGGAATTGAACCTGCGATGCCTGGTTCGCAGCCCGCGCTCAATCCACTGAGCTATGCCAGCCAAGGCCAGACCCAGTTTTGGCCCACCTGCGCCTCTCCTTTCTTTCCTGTATCTCTCAGCTTCTGCTGCCCCAACTGTGTCCCCACGGGGCTCTCAGCGCTAGGCTGAAACACGTAGGCACGTTCACTTATAATTGAGGACCTGGGAGGCCATCCGGCTGGACTCTGCAAAGTTGTCAGGTCTAAAGATGTTCCTCTCTCTCACCTTCCAATCGTAAACAGAAGTGGCGCTCTTTGCTGACACGGATCCGAAGGTCTGCCGCGCCCGCAGTCTCTCTTCGCGCCTTCTCTGGGGCTCTTCAAGGTTCTGTCTCGCTCAGAGACCCCAAATTCTGCCTGCGGCATACTTTTCTCGTTAATTACCTTGAAACAACACATCGCTAATTGTCCTAATTACTCTCGGGCGGTGCCACACCGCCCCGCGGGCTAGGCCGGGTGGCGCTGTGCCGGGCATGGAGAGGGAGCTGCACCTCCGCGCGCGCGCGCCCGCGCGCGGATCGGACCTCGCCTGGGAGGAACGCGGGAGGGTCTGCGGCCCCTCTCCGGTCCTTGGGCAGAGATTCCACCGCCCAGGGCCTGGCTGGAGCTCGCACACCTCGGGGTCCCGGCGGTGCGTGTTGAATAGAATCCGAGCATCTTTGAGTCCTCCTCCCTTCCCCAACCTTCTAGAGCGCTTCCCGAGTTAGGATAACGGAGGTCTCCTGCGTCCCGGACACGAGGAAGGCCTGCTCCTCCCCTCCCTGCCCATCTATTGAAAGCAGCCTCCACCCATTACTCCGTTTTACGTTTTCATAAAGAATTACTACCTGAAATTACCGGGTTTTGTTGTTGTTGTTGTTGTTGTTTTGCGCATTTGTCTCATCTTTCTCTTGCTCCCTCCCCACATACTTTCGTGAGAGAGAGACCTTACCTGTTCCCTTCGGTATCCCAGACCTACAACCTGGGCCGAAAGGACGGCAGTCTTCAATGTGTTAAATAAGGGAGTGGACCGAGCGGCGGGTCCTCTGCCCCACCGGCAAGGAGTGGGCTGGGGGGACCCTACACTAGGAGGTGGGGGTAGAGCCACACTTGGAGTCCACCAGGGGGACACAAACAAACAAACAAACAAACAAACAAAGAGCCGCCGAGCGGTGGAGGACTGAGGGTGTTTCTTTTCTGATTGGAGTTCGGCACAAGGGGGTTGACACCGCGGCACTCAGCCTCTTTCTGAGACCGCTACCCAGCGCCCACCCGAGAGACCGAGCTCTCTCATTCCGACCAGAAGGGCTCATGTGCTTTGTTGGCGAGCGTCGGCACAGTCTGGCGTCACTATGCCCCCTACCGTGCCGGCCCGGACCAGGTGTCCCCCCGCCAGGCCCCCACAAGCAGCGGCCCCTGCCGGGTGCACACCCCCAAGGCGGGGTCCACTAGTGGGTGCCCAGCCCGCGCTCCCCCCCCGTGCGCTCTCCTGATTGGCTGAAGGCATCCCCGCTGAACGCTCATAGGCTGGCCCACTCCTCCCTCCGCCCCCCCCCGCCCCGCGCGGGCCGCACGCCGCCTGCAGTCGGGAAAGCCGCTTAAGTCCGGCAGGCTCGGCTCCGAGCTGCTCAGGGCGCCGATCTCAGGGTCCAGCAGCCCGCGGAGCGCGCGGCTTCAGTGGGGCTGGTGTTCCCACCCGAGACTCTGTGGTGGAGCCGAGCCCGGCAAATGGGCGCATGAAAAAGAAGAGCGTGGAAATGGACTGCTATTTGCGCCGCCTCAAACAGGAGCTGGTAAGAGAGGAGCGGGTGCCAGGGCGGGCTGCTCCCCGGGATCCGTACCTGGCCCCGCCGGACCCCGGGAGCCAGGACCCGCGTGGGAGGAAGCAGGTTGGGGAGGAGGGGGAGACGCGCGCCGGCAGGCAGACAGCAGGGCCTGTCCCGAGAGTAAAGGGCCACGAGGAAACTTGAAGCAAAGGTTGTGTGAGAGTGAGGCCACACGAACAAGTGACAGAGGCCGAGCTAGCCAAACCCAGACGGAAAGGTGCCCAGGGAACCTTAGGGAGAAAAGAGGGTGCTCACCCAGACGGACGGACACGCGGACGGAGTGGGACCGAGGCACCCGCACAGAGAGAGGGGAACGCGGTTGGGGGACTGGATGAAAAGGGTAAAGGGATTAAGCATAGAGAAAATAAACTCATGGACACCGGGAAAGAGGAAAGAAGGAGCGGACGCGGGGCGCTGGGGCGGCGCTGGGAGATTTGGGGTTCGTGGGGCCGGCGGGCGGGGCGCTGGGGAGGGTGCGCCGGGTGGAATCCTGCCCCGGGCGGCAGGTCAGCCGGGGACCGGTCGCTCGAGAGGAGCTGGCACCGCCTGGGGCCCCCAACTCTGCCGGGGTTGGCAGAGCTGCCGTCGCTGCGGGGCCCGCTGGGCCGGCTGTCTGCCCGGACTTGCCTGCCAGCAGGGAGGGGGCTGGCAGCTGGAACGGCGAGGGAGGACCCCGGGGGGGAGGAGGGGCCCGCCTGGCAGATCGCGAGCGGGAGCTGCGGAGGCTCAGCCAGATGTCGGGTCTGGGCTTTGGGTGTGCGGAGGGAGCGTGCGGGGGCGTGTGTGGGTGCTGGGGCTGGGTCTAGAGGGAGCGCAGTGGGGGAGGGGCAGCCCAGGTAGGGGACGGGTGCCTGCTAAAACTCTGGTTGATTCTCACCGACTTCCTGTCCCTCCACCCCAACCTGCCACCCTGTTCCTTCGACCACCAGAATTCAGCCGGACTCTCAGCCGAGGAGCCTCTCTTGTGCCTTCGCCTCTGCCTCTTTTGTCCCTTCTAGTTGGTGTCACTTGGAGTCGACCTCTTCTCAGACTCACCTTTTCTCCCCTCCTCTTGCTACTGTTCAGAGCCAGGCGCACCCAGGCCCCCCACGGCAGAAAGAGCCAGCCTGTGGCTCTCCAGATTCTCTGACGGCCTCCCCCTCCTGCCTGCAAACTCCACACCCTTCCCGCTGGGTCAGAGGCCAGCTGGGGGCGGGGGGGGGGGGGGCGGAAAGCTGGGGGTGCAGGTGTTCTCCGCCATGCTTCCTGGGCAAGCGGACCAGGCACTCTTCCTGTCTGTCCCACTGCAGGGCCTGCCTTGTCCAGTCAATGGTCACTTCTCTCTCTGGTGCTTCCTCCTGACGCCCTTTTTTGGTGGTGACAGATGGGAAATGCTTCTGTGATGAGGGATAGAAGAGTCTCCATCATGTCCCTTCCCAAACCAGTTTTCCCATGCGCCCCATGTCAGTGTGGAGTGGCTCGCCCAGCCCACACAAACACAATTCTGACCTTTCCCATGCATTTGTCCAATAGCAGAAAGAAAGGTCAAGGCCAGCATAGATAATGTCTGAAGTCCAAGGCCCATGTAGAGAAAAGAATCTAACCAAATCCTCTTTATATGCTTGGAATCTGGGGCCACACCACCCACCTCAGGATCTGCCTTAATAGAGGGTTTGTGGGTGTTCCTGGCATTGGGCTTGAATTTTAAAATCCTCCCGATTTGCATTTTTCACAGCACCCTAGGTGGGAGGTGGTGAGGGAGGAAGGCAGAGTCTGTGGGTGCCAGGAGAATAAAAAAGGCAAACAGGAATCTGCACCGAACTGAGCTCCAGGTCTTGCTTTGCACCTTCTCCCGCCAAGGGCTGGAGCCCCAGTCCCCAGGAAGAGGAAGGGGAGAGGCCGAAGTCACCCAGCTCCCCCTTAGCTCTCATTCGGCCCTTTGTCTGAGCAGCCTCAGCCTTTGACTCTCTTGGAGAGGAAGCCAAATGCCTGGCCTGGGGCCCAGAATGACACTCAGATGGGAGAGCTCTGCACCCTCCCCGTCCCCACTCCCCATGGGGCTCCACCCCCTCCCCTGTGCCAGTTGCCCAGAAAGGAGACAGCAAGCAGAGTGACAGGCAGAGCTGTGAGAGGCTCGTTCACTGCCCGACACCTCAGCCCAGGGCTTAGCTCCCTGAGCCAAAGCTCAGTGCCTCAGTTTCCCCAGGGGGAGCGAAGGAGAGAGCAGAGCTGAGTTAGCCCAGGCCCAGCCCTTGGCCTCTGTAGAGGCCATGGGCACTGAAGTCAGTGCGGCTTGGTTGTAGCTGAGATGGCAGAGTGTCGGCCTGGTGATCCCTCAGGTCTACAGGCAGTGGGCGGGGGAGGCACACAGTCAGTCTGGGTCATGGGTTTGAGGGTGTATGTGTGTGTGTGTGTCTGTCTGTCCCCGCCGAATCTTACCCGCCACCCAAGAGGACTGGCTTTGCCACGTGCCCCCGCCCCCGCACTTGTGGAACAGCAGTCAAGCTCAACATTATTCCACTAAATTCCTGTGAACTGGTCTCTGTCGAGGGTGTTCTGCGCTCCCCTCCTGCGTCCTGGCCCTGTCCTTGGCCCAGAAAACCTAGACAAGGAGAGTCTGTTCCTGAAAACCAAAGTAGAAGAATTTCCCAATTTCTCGAAGCAGGATATTCGCACTGGAATGAGTGAGCACAGGGCGGTCCGGGAGGCTGAGGGCTTGGGGATCCTGGCTCAGTTCGGCGGATGGTTGATGTCTAGAGAGCTGGCCCTTTGGCCCTGCCTGGAAGGGGAGCGGGATCGGGTTTCAGGGATGAAACGTGGCAGGAGAGTAGCAGCAGCTGACACACTTCTTCATTAGGACGGGGGGCTGGGGGGCTGCAACTGCTCACTGGGGAACACATCTCTCCCCGCTTCCAGCTGCCAAAGGGGGGCCCCGCCCGGAACATAGGCCCTGGAACCAGCTGTTCCGCACACACCGCTCCCCCGAGGGCTTCTAACAAAGGGGTAGACAGAGCGCACGGAGGAAGCAGATGTAAGATGCTCACAGGACGCTCCCCCGAGTTCAGCCCAGTGTAGAGCAAACAAAGTGCATGAAGGCTGAGTGATGGGGGCTCACAGAGTACCGCCAGGCCAGGAAGCCTTCCTGGAGGAGGAGGAGGTTGACAGAGGCCAGCTCTGGGAAGGTCCACCCCAGCTGAGGCATGGGACTTCTCTCAGGCCGGGGAAGGTCATCCCAGGACAGCGTGGTGTTCCTAGAAGGCAGTGATCCAGTGGCTGGTGGCCACCGCTCAGGAGGTTCTGGCGTCTGGAGGAGGGCCAGGGCCTCAAGGCAGAGTGAGGAGCAGGAAAGGTGGTGATCGGGGAGGTACAGCAGGAGCAGACTTGAGCTCTTGGTGGCCAAAGAGCGACTTTATTGAGGCAGAGAACACTTTTGCGAAGGATCTCCCAGCACAGTTTCCCTTGATGTTTGCTTTAGAGCAGGACGAAGAGAAGAAGCTTGGACCGGACAAGGCGGGCTGGGCAGTGGGAGGAGCTGGGGCCCGAACTCCAACCCTGGCTCTGTGTGACCCTAGCAGACGACTTAACCTCTCTGTGCCTCGATGTTCGCATCTGTAAAATGGGGTTTTATGAATACTGACTTTATACAGCTCCTGAGAAGATGACACAACAACGTAGGAAACGTGCTTCTCCAACTGTATGTCCTTAGCGTGCCACACGGTGCCTGGTGTGCGGTAGGCACGTGATAAACTGACGGTGGACTGATGACACCGGGGCATACGGGTTCTTCATTCACAGGTCACGGGTACTGAGCTCACACTGTGTTTAATGTGCTTTACCAAGCATGAGTGCTGTAGTTACAAATATAAACAGACACGGATCCTGCCTTCAGGGAACTCCCAGTTTACTAAGAGAGAAGATAACATGTATCAATATTAACATTTTTGATATGACCAGCATAGAATGTATTATGGCATCTCACCGACAAAGCAACACTAAGAAGCTGTACTTCGATTATTCCTGTTTGATGACGGAGACCAGGGGAGGCGAGGAGACTTGGCCGTGATCACAGAGCTGGGCGGTGGCAGCGCTGGGATTCCCCCCAGCCCGTCTGTCTGAGTGCAGAGCTCACTCCGGGCCCAGGGCCGCCACACGCGAATCCCTAATACAGGCGGAGGGGTCGGGCGCGTGAGGGCACGGCTCCGGGCTCTGAGAAGGCAGAGATGACCTCCGGCTGGGGGAAAAAGGAAAACTTCGTGGAACAGGTGGCATTTGACCTAGACCTTGCGGGAGGAACAGGGACGTGAGCAGGAGAAAAACAGATGTCCAGGCAGACCATGTAACTACACGAGCAAAAGGCCCCGAGCTGCGAGGAACGAGGATGATCACAGACTGTCTGGCGGGCGTGTTTGCGGACTCGCTTGAGTGTGGCCAGGATGTCGGGCGTGTGCGGAGAGACAGTGGACAACGCGGCTGAGAGAGCTGAGGGCGGGCTAGGGGCCTTGAATGCCACACTGAAGAGCGTGGTGGCCTTTTCGGCGTGCGTAGGGCGGGATGATCCAGGCCGTGGTGTGGGGTGGACGTGGGGAGGGGGAACCGAGGCAGAAGGGCGAGTCAGCGGGCTACCAAAAGAGTCCATGCAGGAGAGGATGAAGGCCTGCAGTGAGGGAGAAAAGGGAGGCGACAACTTCCTGCGGTCCCTTGGACGCGCAGGGAACTTGACCGACTGGCTGCCGTGGGCGGGAGCTGAGGCTGGCCGGGCAGAAGGGCTCCATGAGGCGGAGAGGCTGCGGAGGGGGCCAGACGGGGCACCCCTCTCTATCTGCCCGCCACTTGCCGGAGCACGTGGCCCCCACGAGAGGGTTCCGTTGGGAGGGCGGGCTCGTCCGTTGCAAACTTCCTCCTCTCTTTCCCGCCCTCCCTCTCTGGCTCTTGGCAGACTTTCTGCTTTACCTTCCTGCGGAGTGTTCCAGCCAAGATCGGGGGGCTGTGAAGGTCCCCATTCACTGGGCTGGAGAATGGGCCGCTTGGCAGAAGCAGGCCTTTTCCCATTTCCGGCCCTGAACCTCCTTCTTGCTTCCAGAGGGGCTGAAAGGAACAGTGTCGGGAGCGTGGTGAGTAATGGGGGGGGGGGGCGAGGCAGGCACCCTGCCAGGCCCATGGGCAAAGCGGGAGCCTGTGGCGGGGGGTTCCGGCTGCGTTGGGGGAGGGCGTGAGATGGGTGGACACAGGGCACAGCTGTGGGTCCGTCAGGGGCCTGGGAGAGGGCTGGGGAAGGTGCCGAGGATGCTGGTATTACACTCTCCCGTCCCCCACTCCTCCCACGCCACAGTGGGCCCAGCCAGTACGGGGCGGGGGGAGGCGCAGGGTGCTGCCCACAGACAGCTGACCCCACGCCACCCCCTCGAGGGCTCAGGCCTGGAGCTCCAGGAGGCTGGGATGTTGTCCCTTCCCAGCCACATTCAGCCCCGGGCAGCCGGTCCCTCTTCCCTCCTTGGAGGACTCAGTGGAGAGACGCCTTCGGTGGAAATGAGCTGAGTTGGGTCTTGGAGTCGCTCCAAGACTCCGTGTTCTTCTCTCTGCACGATGGCGACTTTGCACGTCCCACTGGCCGTCCTGGTTTCTTTCCACAGCAGTCCCACGAGGCTGAGAAGTCAGGGATGCTGATGACATGGGAAGCCTGCCGGCCTTGAGTGAGGGCCAGGCGTGGGGTCCCGCCGCCGCCCACACCCGCGCACCGTGTCTCCGCGGGGGGTGCTCGGGGGATGCCGGCTGGTGCTCAGAGGCAGAGCTCGAGTCGGAGAGCCGCCATCTGCTTCTGGCAAGTGACGCGCACTGCATCGAGTTTCTATAGAAATACATTTATATAAACGGTAGATTTAAATAAAATATTAAGTAAGAGGCTAGGCCGTATATAGCTGTGATGAAAGTCACGCGGGAAGCCCCGGGAAGAATGATTGGGAACCTCTCAGCCGGGAGTCCCGAATCCTCCGAGGGGGAGACTCTGGTCTCACCACCCCCAGCTCCCAGGGTAACTGTGGGGTCGGATCTGGCCACGCGGAGGGCAGGGCCGGTGCTACCACCCCCAGGGGAGCGGTTATCATTGTACAGACTCAGAGCCCGACACACAGAAGGCTGGCGAGTCCACCCAGTGCTGTGTGGCTCAGATAGCCAGCCTGACGCAGGCCAGGTCTCAGACCCCAGCACGTGGCCCCCCGCAGCCCCCAGGAGGGTGCCCGGCAGTGTCGGCCTCTGACACAGGGAGGGAGCCTGGGCTGGCTTCAGCAAGAGACACCGAAGTCTGACGTGAAGACAAGTGTTAGAACCCAGCGTTTGGAGGCTCGGGAGGGGCTGGCGGCAGACGATGGCCGTGGGGCGGGTGGGTGGATGTGAGGAGCGTGGGGGGACCTTCTGTGGGCTCTTTCAGGAGGGCTGCCCACCCTCATCCCCGGGGTGGGGGAGAGAGATGTTCGCAGTAGGGAAAGGTGGGGGAGGCTGTTATTTCTATTCCCACTCAGCCTGAGCCCCTCTCAGCCCAGACCACACGATGTGGTCCCTGCCCTGAGCAAGGGCCTAGCCCCTGGGCGGCCGGCGGGGCGAGGACTGGGGTTCAGTGCCGCTGACTCCCCCCCCCTCACCGGGGTCTCCTCCCTTGCCCTCCCCCACGCGGCTGTCTCCACTCCCTGCTCCCTCTTCCGCTCCCGAGGCAGGAGAAACCCTGGGACCCGAGAAGGTCCCACGCTCCGGACAAGACAGCAGCTTGCCCCTGGCTCTTTCTCCCGGGTGACATCATCCCCCTCGAGGCTGGGAAAGGCAGCTGCCTCTCGGCGGGGACCCAGCTGATGCCCCTGCCACCGTTCCCACACTCGGGCTTCCTCTCCCCTCCTCACCACGCTGGCTGGCTGGCGATGGGCGGGAGGATGCCAAGGCTGCCCCTTCCGTCCCCCCCTCCCGTGCCCCCTTCCGCGGTGGGGGTGGGGGTGGGAGCAGAGCTACAGGACGAGAGAGAGAAATGAGCTTCTCCTTGGTCAGACCAGGTGGGTGAGCGGAGTCCAGTCATCACTAGACGTCCCGGAAGTTCTCAGGAAGTCTTAAATTAAGACAGCAGCCCCAATGCACGACCACATGCCCCCTCGCCTGAGCCCCCCAAAGCTGTACGAGGAAGGACGTCTTAGTCCCATTTTAAAGAATGGAGCAATTGGACAATGGAATTTAAACCACCTGCTGAGATCACGCGGCTATTAGCTGGTGGAGCTGGGATTCGAACCCTCTTGCATTTGTCTCCAGAACCCAAGATCTCACCCGAGGCAGAACATCGTTTTCCCTGTGGGCGTCGCTTCAGCTCCTCTTCACCTAAATGGGGCCTCTGTCTCACGGGCAGCCCTGAATTCATGCGTGCCCACACACTCGTTCTCACTGCGAAACGGCACCAAATGTCAGCATTATTTCTGCAGCATTCTTCCATGCTGGAGGAGACGGAATGGGGTCGTGTCACTCCTCCCACTGCCTCCGACCCGGCCCGCGGACAGCCTTCCGGGAGGAAGCCTGCAAGCGCGGACTCCGGTCCCCGGGTGAAACGAAGCCCTGGGACCCGTCCCTGACTCGGTCTCCCTGCGAGGGCAGGCACTGGCCCAGGGCGGCAAGCGGTTGGGTGCGGGGGGGGGCGATATGGGGTATTCAGTGGAACTCAATATATGTTTTATGGGTACGCAGCAGGTGCAAGGTGCTAGCGAGGTTCTGGGTGGACACGACGAGTCCCGACCTCCGTCAGTCAGATGCTCAGTAAACGTTGCCTGAGTGACGGAGCATTTAAACACCCGGAGGAGCGTGGGGGGGCGGGGCGGAGCACATCGTGCGTCACAGGAGCGGTCGGACAAGCTCGTGGGTGGTACGGGGCGGGGGTAGGGATCTGATGCTGAGGGGTGGGTGGGTTAGACCCCTCTGGTGGCGGGAAGGAACTTGGGGAGGCGTCTGCATTTCAGGGGGTGGCTGGGTGGGCAAGCCAGAAATGACCCTGCGGTTGCAGCCTGGGGTGAGGAGGAAGGTGGTATGGGGGGGAGGGGGCAGGAAGCGGGAAGGCAGAGGAGTGGGGGGCGGTGCTTAGTGCCCCCTGTGACTCTGCTCTGGGTCTTCCCGGCTGCAGCCGAGGAAGGGGTCAGGGAGGTAGAAGCAAAGAGGTCGGTGGAGCAAGGGGCCACGGGTGAGCGTGGTGACCCCAGAGGCTGTGCCTCTTGCTGCTGTGACGGCCCTCGAGTGGCACGTGCTCGTCCAGAGAGTGGGCAAACCCCAGGGCTGGTGGGGCCCGAACCACCACCACTTGCCCCGTCTTGAGGAAGGTGCAGCGCAGCCTCTCCCCTCTCAGCAAAGGCCTCCTTGCCTCCAGGGACAGTCAGTCCTCTCTCTGCCCCTGAGGCTGGCTCAAGAGCTGCCCCCACCCCACCCCCACCCCAGGGCCGAGGTGGCAGGGGAAGGGTTGACCCTGAAGCCCAAGAGCATGAGAGTGTGGCCCTGCAGGGCCTCATGCCTGTCCCCCCAGCCCTTCCGCCCTGTGGGCTTAGCTCTGAGCATCAGGACGAGGCTGGGAGGTAAGGTGATCCCCACGGGTCTCTGGGGGGCTTAAGGAACAGATGGTCCCCGCACAGGCGTTTGCTGGTGGTAACCCGAGCAGATCTGGGGAGGGAGCTGGCGGGACCGGGCAGCTTGGGCCCGGGCTCGGGAGCCTCGTGAATGTTATCAGAAGCAGCATCCCCTGCCCGGCCTCCAAGCTCGGCCCTCACCCAAGCCCATCTCTCAGCCCCTTCCAGCTGGCGCCGGGGACTCGGGCCTCAGACACCCACAAAGGGGCTGGGGGGCTGGCCCCCCGTGTCCCTGCTCTTGGCTGAGGCAGCAGCAGCGCCAACTGGGCCAAGAAGGCAGGAAGAGCAGAGGAGCCAAGTCCAAGACAGCTGGGAGAGGACAGGTGCTGGAGGGAGCGGAGGACCGGGAGGAGCTGGGCGAGGTGTCCGCTTCCCCCGGGGGCACGGAGCTGGCTTCGAGGCCAGCCCGCCACCGCCCACCACGGGCTGCAGGGGGCCGGGTGGTCAGACCGCGGCGCTTGGAGAGAGATGTGCGGGGCTTCTGACCGAGTCCAGCCCTGGGAGCCGAGCGACCTCACCCCACGGTGGTTAACTCGTGTGTTCAAACGAGGACAGTGAGAGGTGAAGACGGAAGGAAATGGGGTGTGTAGCATCCTCGGGACCATTCCTGTTCCCCAGGAGCAGGAGCGTGTCCTTGTCCTTGCTGTCACTGTCATCTCAGGGAGCCTCGGGGGGGAAGAGGGTGCAGACGCAGGAAGGGACGGCGACGATGACGTCTGTGCACCCCGCAACCCAGGGCGCCCTCACGCGGACCCCAGCTCGCCCCGCACTGTGTCAACTCGAGCAAAGTTCCTTAAGAGCCCCGTTTCCTCATCTGTGAAATGGGGACAGAGCGAGTCACTCCCTCACAGAGTAGTCGGAGGTTAAATATAAGTTAATTTATGTACGTGCGTCTGCACATACACCCACGGAACAGCGGGCTGCGCCGGCCCCAGCCAGTGGGCGGCCTTGGCTGTCACTCCTCCGCGCGGCCCTGCTGGTGTTCGAAGTCCTCCTCTCCCGGCTCTGGCCTGCCCTGCCCTGCCCTGCCCTGGTGGTAGAGACCGGGCGGGGTCACGGGCGGCTGGAATGACCCTGGAAATGTGTGTTGGGGGAGGGGGAATCTAGTCCGGCTGGTGAGGGGCAGCCCCCCTTCCGCGCCCCCCCCAACCCCCCACCCCGTGGTCACTGTCCCTACTCTCCCTTCTGTCCGCAGATATCCATGAAGGAAGTGGGCGACGGCCTGCAGGACCAGATGAACTGCATGATGGGGGCGCTGCAGGAGCTGAAGCTCCTGCAGGTGCAGACGGCCCTGGAGCAGCTGCAGATCTCCGGGGCGGGCCCCGCCCCAGGCTGCTCCGGAAGCCCCAGGACGCAGCCGGAGCCCCCTCCGTGGGAGGGCGGCAGAGGTGCCGCCAGGCCCGCTGTCCCCTCTCCCTCCAGCCAACCTCCTCGTGGTGGCGGCGGCAGGTGTCCACCCCCCAGGAGCGTGTGGGGGAGGGAGCTGGCCGCGGGGCCCAGGACACAGCCGCCAGAGCCCCAGAGCCGTGCGCCGCGGCAGCCGGAGCTGGCGGAGCCCGACGACGACTGGACCTCCACGCTGATGTCCCGGGGCCGGAACCGACAGCCTCTGGTGTTGGGCGACAACGTTTTCGCAGACCTGGTGGGCAACTGGCTGGACCTGCCAGAACTGGAGAAGGGTGGGGACAAGGGCGAGCCCGGGGAGGCAGGAGAGCCCCGAGGAGAGAGGGGCCCGCCCCGGGAGCTGGGCCGCAGGCTCGCGCTGACGGCCAACATCTTCAAGAAGCTCCTGCGCAGCGTGCGGCCCGACCGGGACCGGCTGCTGAAGGAGAAGCCGGGCTGGGTGACGCCCACGGCCTCGGAGCCCAGAGCCGGGCGCGCGCAGAAGGTCAAGAAGCGGAGCCACTCCAAGGGCCCCAGCCATCTCCCCTTCCCTGGCTCGGGGGAGCCCCGGCGAGGAGAAAGCCCCTCCACCGGCTGCCCCAAGGCCCTGGAGGCCTCGCCCTCGGGCTTCGATATCAACACCGCCGTCTGGGTCTGAATCCCAGGGACTCAGAGAGCTGACTGCGCCCAAGGGGCCAGGGCCCAGTGCCTCCGGGGCGGGGGTCTGGCAGTGGCTGGAGAGGCTTCCAAAAGCAGGGCTCCAGGTTCCTTTTCTGCAGAAAGGAGGGAGAGGAGGCAGGCGTGCTCAGAGTAGGATGGGCAGCCCGTGTTTGGAGAGGTTGTGCCCGGCTGCTGGTGGGAGAGTGGCCACACGTGGGGGGGGTGTGTGTCACTCACTCTGGGGCTGGAGGTGGCAGCAGATGTGCAGGGGGAGGAGCAGGAAACCCTTCTGACATTCCTCCCCACCCAGCGACCTCACCGAACGTTCTCTGTGGACCAGCGCTCCGGGCCTCTGCTCCCCAGAGAGGCCCGCAATAAAGACCTTGTCTCTCATGTCCCCAGAACTGTTTGCTCCCCTGCCGAAGTGCTGCTCCAGGCCCAGCTAGGACCCCTTGGCCCTCCTGGGAGTGGGAGTGCAGAGAGACAAGTCCCCCCCCGACCCCCTGCAGCTGTGCCGGCTGCCTCAGAGACTCCAGCCCGGCCCTGGACCCTGAGAAATGGCTGAATACGGAGCGTGGGCACAAGGAATACTGGGGGAAGCCCCCACCCCCCATCTTTCCAAAAGCACAGGAAAGAATATCTGTGACACCATGAAGCATCAGAAAGCCTTTTCATGTCCATTATCCCCTAAGTGAGCAAGTAAGGCAGGCGTTTGCCCCACTTTCCTGGTGAGGTGTGCCTGTCCAGGAACACTGGAGTGGGGGGGGGGCATCCAGGGCAGACTGAGAGCGACAGTGGGGCCCTACAGTCCCACACACACTGCTCCCTGACACCCAGGCTAGGGCTGGACCCCCACCCAGGACACAACACGTGTGGATTCCGCGTTGAGGCCAAGGCGTGCCCGGGTGATAGAAGTAAAATTCCTAGCACCAAACCTGGCCTCGCTCTGCTCAGGCTCAGTCTGGAGCCTCTTCCCACCCGCCCCAGAGCCAGCCCCCGGGGGAGGGAACGGGTGGAAGGCAGGGCCCCGAGCAGTGGCTCAGCTCCAGCAGCAGCCACGGTGGTGGTGGTGGCACGTGGCCCAGGAGTGATGCCACCCCAGGCACCCCCTGGAAGCCACCAGCCCGCCTACTCTGGCCCAGGAAGCCTGCAGGCTGGGAACAAACAATGCAGGTCCCTGTTTGGGCAGAGGCAGCCTGGGAGGGCGCAGCCTGTCTCCGCCCCCTGCCCCTCCCGCCGGTGTCCCCTGCCTGATGGGAGGTGACAGCTGCAATTAGAGGCAAGCTGCCTTCCTGCCCTCGGAGCATTCATAGCAAATTGGAGAAGAAAAATAACGAGAGAGGCTCTTCCAGCATCCCGGGTCCCCGGGGGCGCATAGTGCGGTGGCAGGGGCGGGAGGACCTTGGAGGGAGCGGCTCCATCACTGGAGCTGGGGGCAGTTAGGGTCACTCCCACATTCCCACACAATCCAATGATAGGGTCTACTTGCAGGTGGTGGCAGCTACAAGGGGAACAGGCCCCGTTTTTTGTTTGTTTGTTTTTGAGAGCTCCCTATTTGCCAGGCAGTAGGCACGTGTCTTCCAAGCTTCAGCATGACCCTGGACCGAGGTAGCATCACCAGCATCCCCTCAGAATGCAAAGAAGCGGGATCTGCAGCCGGGGCTGGTCTGGCCCTGAGACCGTCTCTCTGGCTCTCTCCGCCCCATGTCTGCCCTCAGGGACTTGGATGTTTCCATCCTGGGTGGGGGCCCGTGGGCTGTGGCTGCCTGTGTGGTGGTGGTGGGTGGGTGTGTATGTGTGTGGAAAGTGTGTGTGGAAAGTGTGAGTGTGAAGATTCCACCTACTGATTCCCCGAGGCCTGAGAGGAGAAGCCACCCAGCAAACTACTGAAGAAGGCACCAGCCCCGAGTTGGGAATGATTCTGCAGGAAACCGAGCCACCTCCTGGCCGCCCACCCCACGAGCTCCTTGGTTCTGTGGTCCAGGCACAGCAGTTCAGACCAACTGAGCAAAACTTCATGAACGTCTCCCAGTGCTGGGCACTGCAGTGGGAACTAAGAACCGAGTAACGTAAGGACCCAGTTTCCGACTCAGGGCCCAGCGGGAAGAAAGGATTCAAGCGCGAGGGGCGCCTTTTCACTGTAACTTGGGCCAGAGCAAAGCCATCAGGAGTGACGTTTGCTGCGACATCGCTGACCGATGTCAGGTGCCGTCATCTTCGCGTTCTTCCCTTCCTTCCTTCCCACCGCACTCGGGGGCGGCGGCCGCCACTCTCGGTTCGCAGGGAGAGGCTCGGCGGAGCGGAGCCACCTGCCCGGGGTCACACGGGCAGAGCTGGGATCGGAACAGTTCCAACCTGAACAGTCCAGTCTTGCGCTTCTCACAGGACCCCACGCGTTGTCCAAATCTGCCCCAAAGCCAAGTCAAGGGCAGCAGCACCAAAGCCTGCCCTTGCAGGACCCGGGCACGGCCGAGTAAGGGCAGGCTGACTTCCGGCGGAGGCTGACTTCCGGCGGAGGCTGAGTTCCGGTGGGGAGGTCTGCCGGGGCCCGGCTGGGGCTGAAGTGCTCCCTCTTCAGTGTGTCGAGCTTTGCTAATGGCAGCTCATGGCCGATTCATTCACCCCACCAGAGTTCCCCTTGTCCCTCCCCCAGGCTCCTGCTGTGACCGTGACCGTGACCGTGACTGTGGCCACGATGGAGACTGTATTTTACTGAAGCTGAGAGGAGAGGCCATGGGAATGCCCAAGGCCTGAGCCACGCAGGGGAGTGTAGGGGTGGGGAGCTGTGTGTGTGTGTTGGGGGGCGGGGTGGCTAGTGGAAGTAAGCAGCGAGAGATTGACAGCTTAATGCTACCCCTGGGGCTCATTTTATGGTTAATTAGGACATGCAAATAAGCTAGAAGCTCATTTAATACCCTCCCTGGCGTAGGGCCCCGCCTCACACCTGGCTTGCTGCCCTGGCAGGTACGGGGGCCCCCGGTTGGTTCAGGCATCTGCTCAGGACCCCACCTGCTTCCCTGTGGCCCTGTGGCCGGAAGGTGTGCCTGTCTGTGTCCCCGGCCCACAAGCAGGAGCTGGAAGAGGCCCCGCTGGGCACAGCCAGGGCCTGTCTGGTCGCCCTCTGCCTTCACCCTTCACACCTGGGACCCCTCTGTCCTCAAGCACTGTCCCTGCAGCCGCCCCCTCAGGGTAAGGTCTGGACCGGGACTTGCCGGGAGTAACAGGGACCAGGTTCAGCTCGGTCCCCGCCCCACCTCCCTGCTCCCCAGAGCCGGTGGGGGAGGGGCTCCCGTCTTTCCCGTCACCGAAACTCTGTCCACAACAGCCCAGCCTGTGTCACAGGGAGCAGGGGCCTGTGTCCTCAGGTGCCGTCCCCATCGGGGCACCGAAGATCTCTCTGCCAGGGCCACGGCATGCACTCTGGATCTGGAGCCAGCCAGAAGGGACGTGGGGCCCCTCTCTGTCGTCACCACGTGGGAGCCTGAGCTCGCTGCTGGACCTCCGGGAGCCTCGCTCCCTTTGCGGAGGAACCGGCCTGCCGCAGGGCTGCTGCGAGGCCAGAGGTCCCCGAGGGCCAGTGCGCTGTCCGTATTCTGAGCAGAACATATTGGACCGCCTGACGTCAGTTCAGCTCTCCCCACATGACCCAGGGCAAAATGCTAAAAAAAGAAAAAAAGCTTTCTCTGAGCCTTGGTCTCTTCTGTAAAAAAAAAAAATAAAAAATGTGCACCGGCCCTATTGCCTCACAGGATGTAGCCAGGACCAGAGCAGACAATAGGTGTGGACGTGCTTTTGTGTGGTGTAAAAATGTTCCCCGGGAGGGCTGCTGTTTGCCAGCTGACAGTTGTCCATGGAAGGGTAATGAATGTGGGGGGTGGGGGGTGGGGGTGGGGGTGGGGAGGGCGGCAGACGGGCTGCGCTCACAAATGGGGCGTGAGGGCCCCTCTGCCCGAGGGCGCACTCTGGGGAGTGCCCCAGCTCTCCCTCGCGGGTGGCCCCGGGCCCTCTTGGTCCAGGCAGGAACTGGGGCTGCCTGAGCTGGGTCCTAATGGCTTTACGAAGAGTCAGGGCCCTGCCCCAAGGCCTGGCGGCGGGGGTCTCTGCCGGGCCCCACGTCTTCCTCTTCTCCACCCCCATCACCCGTCCCCCTGGAGACCGATGGCCCACGGGGGCTTGTGGCCGTCCTTCTGGAATCCGCTCCGATTCCGTGAGGGCTTGGGCTGCTGCTGCCAGAGAGAGGGCCATGGGCTAGAAGGGCCTGGAAGACCCTGGGCCAACCCTGACCCTGACCCCGACCCTGACCCCGAAGGTCAGGGGCCAGACCGCAGACAGCAGCGAGTATCAGATGTCCCGCCTCTCTTTTGCCCCCTCCTGCCCATCCCTACAGCCAGTGGGATGATGAAGCCCCCCCGAGAGATTCCCTCTGCTCCTGACCAGCTGACTTCCCGCCCCTGCCCCTGGGCCCTTCTGTCAGTGCAGACCTAGCCCTCCCCTCACCCCCAGGCCCAGAGACCCGCCCCGATCCTGGTGCAGACGCGCACGGGCACGGAGGGCGGCACAGTGCAGTCCGCCTCGCCAAGGTCCCCAACACACCCGGGCCCCGGCGCCAGGGCTCAGCCCACGGAGGCCACGCGCCCTGGCTGCCACTCCGCAGAAGCCACTCCCTCGGGAGGGGCCCCTCTGGGCGTGTCTGCTCTGTTCCAGCAACACGGGACGCACCGCCAGAGACGACCTGCTGATGCGCTCTGCCCTCGCCCTCCCCCCACCACGCCCGGCTCCGGGCTGCCCACCTGCGGGCTGCCCACCTGTCCTGTCTGCCCCCTCCCCTCGGAGAGACACCCCCAGTTTCCTCCACTGGCACAGCAGATGCCGCCTACCCCTGCCTGAGGTGGCCCCTGTCTCTGGGGCTGTTGCTATGCGGGGAAGGTGCCCCCATCCAAGGGAAGAATCGGGTTTTGTTTCCTTGTTCCCGCTCTGCACATGTCACTCTCCTCCTCCCAGGCCTCCCGCAGCCCCTTCCTCATCGGCTGTCCCTGACAGGAGGCCCGGAGGCTGCAGCTGCAAGGAAGTGCCCCTGGGGCCCGCGGGGACACAAGGGGGGAAGGAAATGTCTGAGATCCTGTGACTTCATCCTCGCTCGCCTGTCTCCCCAGGGTGTCCGGGTGTCCGGGGCCCAGCTCAGCCCAACCAGACCCCAACGGAGCTCAGCTGTACTTCTGGGCACTTCTCACTCCCCGACTTGCCCCCCGGGGAGATGAGCTACTTGGTGAAGTGCCCCAGTCTGGGTTTTCACGCCTCTAGGTCTTTCTCCCCATCTCAGACGGTCTTCTCGCCTTTCCCGCCCTGGACGCCCTCGGGGAGGCCTTGTGTGGGCCTGTGCCCCGCCACCAGAC